ACAAGTACATCTTGGAGATGTCTATTTGACATCTGCATTTACATCTGCAAGACGTATTTTTTAGAGTGTTTGCTCATCTACAATACGTCTATAGGACGTTTCCTATCTGATGTCAAATAGACATTTAGAAGATGTTTATGATTTGGAGTGTATGTAAAACTGACATCTTAAAGACGTCTATCAGATGTTTGCACACAGCAGATGCTTTCCAGATGATCTTTAACAGACATCTTGCAGATGTACCTGTGCTTGTTATTATGATCTAATTGCGCAGTATAGGCAGCAGGTCCGTCAGCAGCTGAAGAAAATTCAGGAATTGGTGCAGAAATTCACCTACAACAACGACCCCCTCACTCTGGGCAAGAGCAGGCTGGATGAGCAGGCCCTTTCACTCTTCAAAAACCTTATATTAAAGTGAGACACAACACCTTAACCATTCATACCTTTCTGTGTCTCTATATGTAGAGCACAAGCTGTAGAAAAAAAAACATTTGTGGGTTCACAGGGGAATTTGAATATATTTTGTGGTGTGTCACTTCTGAAAGATTACAGGACATGAAATCTGTTGTGATGTGACTTTCAGTTCTCTTGTGGTGGAGAGACAGCCTTGTATACTGTGGCATCCCCGGAGACCCTTGGTGTTGAAAATTGTCAGTCAAGATCAGGTGGGTTTTACATTATTGTTATATCAACACACACTGTAATGGAACTCTACCTAATAGTAATTATCATTGTTTTAATTGTGCTTTATGATACTATAGACTACTAGTCAAACTCCCTGAACTGAACTCTCAACCCAAGGTCAAAATCTATATCGACAAGTAAGTAAATATCTATGTATGTTTGTATCTGTCTGTCTCTTTCAAATGTTTCTGAATAGTTTAAATTATTGAGTTTTTCTGAAATGGATACATTGAAAGGGTAGGTAACATATTACATTACAACAAAGAGCACAAATAAATGCTAATTACAATTACTGAATTACCATTCCTCACAGCTCATAATTAAAAATACATACAGTGGGTACGGAAAGTATTCAGACCCCCTTAAATTTTTCACTCTTTGTTATATTGCAGCCATTTGCTAAAATCATTTAAGTTCATTTTTTTTCCTCATTAATGTACACACAGCACACCATATTGACAGAAAAACACAGAATTGTTGACATTTTTGCAGATTTATTAAAAAAGAGCAATACATTTAGTTTTTGTATGCATGTCACAGGTCCTCACTGATGCAGTGGCTTGTGTAATCTCCTAGATTTAGGAAATTCATTCTCTTAGGTATTGTTGACAAAGTTATGAACTTGGATGAATCTAGTGGATGCCTAGCAGCTGAGTTCTGTCATGTGGTATGATGATAAACACTGAGATATTACAACAGATAAGAAAGATAAGATCATTTATAATTACTGACTTCATTTTTCTTGATTTCCCCTTCTAATTAACACAGGCCAAAAAGGAGAAGAGACCTAGCAACAGAAATAAAGAGGTAGGACAAAATAATAAGTAAAAGTCACCTAAAACTACCAATTATTGCTATGTAAGTGGCTTTCTTTTTCCCCAGTTGTCTCTCAGTGTGTATGAGGAGCTGCACTTAATCAGCTTTGACACGCAGCTCGTTCTGCCTGAACTATGTGTTGATTTATCGGTAAAGTTTCTACTACAAGTAGAGTTTTGAAATACAGTATTTATTTGAGACAAAGGTACAGCATGAAACTCTTGTAACTGCAACATCAGATCTTATGTTCAAACAGATCACGTCTTCCTGTGGTGGTGTTGGTCAGTGGTATATCTCGGTTATCTAGTGACATTTTTTTAAGTTTTCAAGTCATGAAGCCCAAGGTGACCGTGAAGGACTCATCCACTGTAATACCTTTTTTAAAGTGAGTTTAGACAAATGATTGAAACAAACACAGGAAAGTTGCTTTCGCTTTCTTTAACAACCTCACATTTGTGTGTTCCTCTGCTGTCACCACATGATTTACTGCTAAAACAAAACTGAGTGAGAACACAATACTGCAAAGAGCAGACATTAACTAAATGCTTTTATAGTATATGTGATGCTTTGTGATGAGAAATAACATGATAAATGACTAGGTGAAGCAATCGTTTCTCTATCACAATATATTGCGTAGAATAACTTTTGTGTTTTCATCTAGACTTCTACGGAGTCTGGTGATTCACTCTGACAATGGATATATGAACATCTGGAATCATGGGTAAGAAATCTGAAGGGGTTTAACCTTTACCATCTAAATGTTGCTCTTGTGCCATTCATGTGAAAGCCAACGCCATGGAAGATTTTCAAAGAGTTAAGACATTTGAGAGGGGGCTTAAATTTCAGGCTTCACGCAAAGCTGTGGTATGGCTTCCGAGTCTTCTGACTCGAGTCCATGTGACTACTTTGATATAAATATTTATTATGTACAGGTACATTATGGGGTTTTTGAGTAAGGAGAGAGAGAGAGGGCTTTGTTGAGAGACAAACTCCCAGGCACTTTCCTTCTGCGCTTCAGTGAAAACTCTCGATGTGGAGGACTCATCACATGGGTGGAGCATTCACAGGATGGTTTGTGCTGGTTTGAACTGGAATATTTTATGTTGTGATAAATATATTGGCATGTCTGAAAAATCTCTTAGGAGATTATCATGTCAGCACAGATGAACCTGTAGTACATTCAACAGAGCCCTACAGTAAAGTAGATCTGAACAGAATCTCTTTACCGAACATCATCCGTGACTATACTGTCACTGATGGAGAGAAGGATCCAGTCAATCCCCTCATCTACCTTTACCCAGACATCCCAAGAGATGTTGCCTTTGGTCGCTACTATATCACTGCATCTGATGGTAAAGACTTTTACATTCACATTTATGCACTTCATATTTGTAATGTGCCATTATTGACCATTGCTCTCCCACTTAACTTGCATACACTCTTAAAAATAAAGGTGCTTCAAAAGGTTCTTCAAGCGATGCCATAGAAGAACCATTTTTGGTTCCACAAAGAACCATTCAGTCAAAGGTTCTTTAAAGAACCTTTGACTGAATGGTTCTTTGTGGAACCAAAAATGGTTCTTCTATGGCATCGCTTGAAGAACCTTTTGAAGCACCTTTATTTTTAAGAGTGTAGGAAAGAAAATAAGATAAGAGTTTAATCATGAGACCGTAGTTTCACTAAGCCAACATTTCAGTCCATCCTGTCAGGAAACTGATAACAAGCAAAGGAAACAAAGCACCAAAAAAAATCACCAAATAGAATAATTTTACAATAAAAAGCAACATCTAATAATTCTCTGAACAATTTTGCGTCTGTTCTGAGACTCTTATGTTTGTGTTTTTGTCCTGGTATTTGCACACCATCAGGACATTTGCAATACAGTAAAATTCTGTTCGCTTTTAGCTCTAGGAGGGATGAATTAAGACAGACTTTCTGGTTTGAAAATCCAAGATGGTACAACAGCATGTCAGTGAAGACCACGGGTTGGACATGATCGTATGTGTTCTGTCAGACTCATCTGATTTAGAGGATTTAGGCTTTGAACTGATAGAGAATGTGGGTAGAAATACAAAGGTCATAGGTTGGATTCCCCGAGAACTGATCAAATGTATACCTTGAATGCATCGTAAGTTGTTTAGAATAAAATACTTGTAGGAAAATAATCTTGCTATTGTGCTAGACATGCCTCGCTGTTACCTGCACTATTTCAGCTATGAATATGTCTTGTGCTGATTGTTGAGATTATAGTGGTATTACTGAACTGAAATCAGGTTAACATTTTTGTGTTGCATGTAGTTTTGTGCACTGTATGTATAATGTAAAAGTACACCCTTTTAACTACGAACACAATTTTATTCATTATTGCACATCAAAGATGAATCTTTATATATACCATTGCTTTAATAGCACATGTACACACACCGACTTGAGTCAGCCAGATACAGTCTAATAGAAATCAGCAAGAAATATCTGCTTCAATGAATACTGAATAGTGCTAAAGTGTCTTTAAAATAGTTTACATTCATTTACTTTGACATGAACTTAATTTTTGTCCAACTAACTGACTTCAAGTGTTTGGTCCGGGTGAACAGGTTTGACGGTATCTTTCCACTGCTAAAACAACTTACAAAAGTCTTACAATAGAAACTACACTCACAGTCATTTAACACTTCATAAAATATACGTATATGCACAGATGGTTTGCACAAATGCAGTGCAAATAATGAGTATTTCTAAATAAAGGAGTTTTTAATTGTATCCTGGTGTTGTCGATTTAAATTAAATATGGTTTGTAATGTGATTTTTTTCTTCCTGTCATCTAGTAAACTTTGATTTGTGATCGCTTTTGTTCTCAGATTACATTGTGCACTTTCTCAAAATTCATTCATTTTGGGGACTCTGCGTGTAAATATTAAAATATGAGTGCACTGAAGAATATATAGTCCATCTATCTGATATTACAGTAAAGACTTAACGAAAATAGCTCTTTGGCAGTGGTTAAAATGTTCAAACAATGAGTGACCTTCAGCTGATCCCCATCTACCTATGGGAATACGACACCTATCTAAGTATTCTATATAAGGTCCCTCAGTATTATCAGCAGTTTTCGCATTGCTCAATAGCTAGTTACCCTCCTCCATCCCCAGCTCCTCCTCTGTCAGTCAGGATTCAGCCTTCTGATTCTCCTTTGAATCAGACTAATTCTAAAATGTGTACATAAAATGATTGAACTTTAACAATATCTGCAATACATTTATGTTAGTTCTGTTCTGTTTACCCTGGGGGATTATCGCTGCTCTCCCTGCTCTCATCCATGCTAGGCTGCATGGAGGCGCAGGGAGTACTTGCCCAGAACAGAACCATACCGCCAATCCAAACTGTATGCTTAATTGTCAATCATCTTTGACGATAGTGGTCCTGACAGAACATACAATTATAGTGTCTTTTGAGAGTCGTTTCGCACCATTAAATATGGCCATCATCATGACACACCCTTTTCTGTGAACAAGCCAAAAATGTCAGACAACTTCAAAAGAAAAAAAAATGTACTGACAAAAAAAGCATGTTTTCAACAAAACAAAAAAAACACGCACACTGATCTTGAGAAGGGGCAGTGCTTCACTGGGCTGTTCCAGAAGAGTGTCCTGTAGTTGGTTATCTCTCCAGCATCCCATCCAGGTGTTTTTCGGTGCTCTCTTTATCTGCGCCAGCTTTCACCAGTGGGTTGTATTTACTGTAGTACTCCTGTAGAAGCGCGAGCACCTCGTGATGACCAAAGTGTGTCGCCTCATCTATAGGTGTATTGCCCCACCTAGAGGAAATAATTTATTATTATTATTATTTTATTGTTTCCACATCTTTTCTGTAACTCTTCCAGGCGTTTGATAACTATGAAATTTAAAAACAATTATTTACTTTACAACAGTAAATCAAAACTTATAAAATTTCTACAGTGTAAAAGATTTATAATTTATTATTAAGAGTGTAAACATATTTTTGTCTTATATCAATTATAAAATATTATAAAATTATAACTTTATAAAAGTTATTTAAAACATCAATCTCTCTGTCCCCGTTTTATTATTACAATAACAATATAAATCATTTACATATCCAATATATTATACTTGATTTATATTTTAAATGACTTTAAATAAAATATCCTGTACCCATCTGCCTCTTTGTACTGAGTTGTGTTATGTGTATATAAAAAACACATACAATTAAAAAGTATTTATATGTATTTAAATATATTTCTTAATGTAATAGTATATGAAATTTGATATAAAATGCATTTCAAGTAATTTAAGTAATACACGCATTGCATGCACAAAGAGAAAGTTCTACCTGATTCTTGTTAGAAATCAAATCCGGTGGCTTGTACATGACTTTTTAGGATGTTATCAACATCTAATTAAAATGTCAAATGCTGAAAAGTTTTCCAAGATCTCATGGGACACCTGATGTCTTACAATCACTTCATTTCTAAATAAAAGAGGCTAAAAAATGAATATTTACTCTAAAATCAAAAGTGTTTGTTCACCTGTCCTTGGGACCAGGATTCACCTTGCAGGCCTCTAACAGAAAACGCACAACCTCAGTATGTCCTAAAATCAAAAGGAATAGCTTTATTCATACAACACATAAGTTTAGATGTAAATCAGCAGTGTATTGAAAAGAAGCATGAAATAAAGATCTGGATCATTTCCCAGCAATATAGTATTTGAGGACTTATATTTATAGTGATTCAACTAGAATTAAAATACATAATACAAAATATAGCTACAAAAAATATACACATTGTAAATTTGGGCAACATTGCTAATTCCCATTATTTAAAACATTACCACTTTTGACCACCAATTGGCGCTGTTACCAAGGCATTTAAGGCATAGTGACAATGACATGCACATTTTGAGTCAAAATGCAAAAGCAAAACACAGCATTACTTTCTATCATCTTTTTTGTTATCCTTCAGTTCATCGACTACCAGCCATAAGGCAAACAATCAGATACCAAATTAACAGACACCACTGGTTCTTGGCCCCTAACAAGTGACAAACTATAGTGTTGGCGTGTGCAATTTTGTACCCTCAGCGGCTGCTATGTGCAGCGCCGTCCTGGAGTCATAGTCCTGCTGCTCCATGTCCACAGAGGACAGTGCAAACCTGCAGTCATGTAGAATGAAAATGTTATAGAAGCAGAACAGAAAATGCTTCAAAAACTTGTAGGCAATGAAGAACTCAATACCTTCTGAGAGCAGAAACATCTCCTGTGTAGGCAGCAAAGAGGAGGTTGATGACAGATTTCACCTGGAATGATAGAAAAGAGCCTTTGTGGAATAGAAATAAGTTATTATGGTCAGATGGTGGGCAGAAACGGAGGCCTCCGGAGTGTCTCCTTTAGCTCTAGCAGACAGAGATGAATAGAGAACAGCTGAGAGGAAACACCAAATAGACAATGAAAAATGTAATCAAGTGCATTGAAATATGAAGACTTGAATTGTGTATCAAGTTACACTGTGCCATCAGTACACTGACAACCACTGCTGTATGAATGGACATGTAACATGAGTCAGTGTTTGTGTTCACATGTACAGTCAGAACGGCAGGCTAAATAAAAATCAACATAGTTTTGTGCCAAATGATACTACATGAGAGGAGTAAAACGATGCAAAATAATATAATGATGTAAATATAATATTTCTCAAAATCAGACATTTGGAATGAAAGCGTATTACATCAACACAGCTACAGATTCCTTCAATTCATTTAGCTGTGTTTCTAACAAACGATGGATCATAAGGAAAAGCTAGCCAAACACTTATTTTACAATGAAGTAGAACAGAAGGCAGCAGAGCTACAATGGATGGCAGTTCCCAGTTCACATATCGTGCAATATTACTGGACGGAGATTTCAAACACGCTCACAAAAAGCAACTTCTATAGGTGAAAAAATATTTTATATAAATATAATAAAAAGGAACATCTTATAATAATAATAATAATAATAATAATAACAACAACAATATCAGGACTTCTCAGTCCTGGGAGAAGAAAAAAAAACTTTAAATAAATAAATCATAATTTAAAAAATCTCTGCAACTTTCATGTTTTCCTTGAACATGGGAATCCTTTCATAGAGATATTTTTTGTTGTTACTGTGGTTTTCATGCAAGCTGTAGTCAAAAAGGCATTTTTTAAGTAAAGCTGTCAATTAAGCAATCAAGAATGTTTTTTGAGACCAATAGTGTCAGAACACAAACTAATAAAATGAACATGTTCCTTCATCATTTTCCAACACACACACACACACACACACACACACACACACACACACACACACACCGCCACAAATGGAACACAACTGATTTCAGGCAACAATGAGATTAGATTAAATACATTTATTAATGATACAAAAAAGAAAACCAGAACAAATGACATAAATACACAATGACAAAACAAGAGAAAATAAACAGAACTGTTATGACAGAGTAAAATTAGATGATAATATATTGTGATGAAGCATTTGACAGCTGTTAGACTCAGGAGAGTTCAAGTAACCAGAGTGAGCGGCTTTGTCAAGCCAGACTGTAATGAACTCATACATTGACTGTTAAATCTGTCAGTGAGTACGAGAAACACTTCTCCACTAAAGCAGCACAAAAACAAGACATGAAAATAAGAATTAAAACTTGTGAAACTAAGCAACAAAACCCAGAAATATACAAGCCTGTGAAAGCGAAGCAAATCACGCAAAAATTAAATGAACATTTATATTTAAAAGATTAAAAAAAGAAAAAAATTCTGCAACACACACACACATATATATATATATATATATGTAATATATAATACTTAATATCTTCCTGATAAGGGCAGCATCCTTCCACCAATACAACAACTTCAAAAGCTTATCGATGTTTAGTTTGATATAAACCAACATATTTTGAACTATCAATAATGTGCATAAATGTTTCTAGCAATAATATATGAGAATACACAGACAGAAATGGAACTAAGGGCAGGCGGAAGAATGGAAGGTTTATAACCTGCAGTGATTTCACGGCAAAGGTCTGACAGCAGGCTTCAACTGGCCGCTGAGCAGTACTAGAGCGGCTCTATGATGCAACCACTGCACATTACAACAGTCCTCTCAGGACACGCAGTCACCACGACAAGCAATTCAGTAGCAATGCATCGTGACTAATCTACAAATGAATAACTCCTTTGCAACATGAGGTCCCTTTTAACCTTATAACGCTTGGTCGGAATGTGTCCAAAGGGAGCAGGAGAAAGGGAATAGTTCAGCCAAAATGGAAAATACTACTTCACCTTTATGTTGTATGTCATGTTAGGAAGATTTTTGAAGAACCTTCATGCAGCTCTTTTCAATAGAACAAGACTTCATTGTAACCTGTCGACCTTCAAAAATATAAAAAAACAACCATGGGGCAGTTGTGGCCTAATGGTTAGAGAGACAGACTTGTAACAAATGGGTATGGGTTACCATAGTTGGCCACACATCATGTCACTTATACAAGCAGTCTATATGACTGTATATTCCAAGTCTGCACTATATTCAAATTTTTTTTTTTTAAGTCATGTAATAGCTTTGTGTGAGGCTGAATTTGAGACATTGTTCAATGATAATTCAGATACCAAATTTGCACCAAATGCCATTGTCAATAACTTAAATGTTCATCTTTTACCTTATAAAAGCTAGTATATGGCTTCAGAACACTTCAATTATAGTCAGACGGACAACTTTTATGGTTACTTGAACAAGATTTTGTTTGGAATATGGAAAAACTTGCATGAAAGTTCTTCAAAAATTATTTTTGTGTTCCACAGAAACAACAACAGCAACACACAGGGTTAAAACAACACGAGGGTGAATCAAAAAAAAAGACTGGATTTTCATTTTTGAGTGAACTTTTGCTTTCGAGTGAAGGTCACCTGTACTTCTTACAAAAAGTTTCAGATGACGTCCATGTGCTCGTGACATCGAGTTAAAGACCTTACAGACGACTCTACATCTGGAAAGACGCGGTTAATTATACATGACCCCCACATTCAATCGTAGTGCAAAACAGAACCACCTGCAGTCTCTGTTCAGCAGCCAAAGCCCCCCACTTCCTTGTCTATGAGAGAATATAGAGCCTATAAATCACACTGCACCTAAAGTCCATGCAGTCCAAGTTAAGAATAAAGCCCTCCGCTATGCTTTTCAGCATTAGCACAGATAGATAAACAGAAGCCAAGGCATAAGGACTTAGACCATATCCTCTACCATTGTCATTCATGTTCACCAAGACTGGTGAAGAACCAACATGTGCCCAGAATGAGATTCATTAAAAATAAATAACGTTAAAGTACATAAATATATACTGTCAAAGAGCTCGCCGAGGTCAGTCAGATCCGTTTTAGTTGCCATCTCCGACATTCTCCATCCTATAGACTACAGTAGTGGAGCTGTCCTCATTGCACTCAGTGGGCGAGACTTTTGTCCACACAGTGTCTTTGAGAGCCAGCTCTTTCTGAAGGCTCTCATAATCCAGGGGTCCGAAGGTATACTGCTGTGTTGAGCAACACGGAGAACACATTAGTTTTTAGGGGCCTCCAGGGAAAGTGTGTGACTCACATTGTTCAATATAGTGACGTGTGAACAGATTTCAAAGTCAACAAAAACAGTCACAAAGAAAGCCTTCGTATTCACACAGCCAGGAAAAGGTCACATTTTTCAACATTTTAAAACAACAGCAAAAAAACATAGCAGGTCTGTCTTATCACAGAAATTGCACACGCATCTTTTAAACTGCAGTAGTCTGATTTAAGTCATAATCATTAATAACAGATGACCAGGCCCACATGGAATCAGTGCATGCAAAGACAGTCTCTTAAGATAAAATGGCATGAAACATGGCAAAACAAGAGATGGCAATCGACATGCAAAAATTAGAATCTCATGCACAGAACTTCGATGATGAATCAACCGCTGCTCTTTACTCGCTGCTTTAACTGTGCTGCTCGATGAAGACAACAGCACAGCAAAAACAGCCGTTTTTTTACCCTATTTGGTAAAAAAAAAAAATACCCTATTTGGGTTGTAATGTAGCTACCTAACTAGGCATGTAGTGTTATTATTATTAGAATTATAATAGTTTATTTGTATATTTATGTAACAACAATAATAGTGTTAGCTATTATAGATTATTGTAATTATTTTAAACTAGTATTATTATTATTACTACTAAATTTCATTATTAATCATTATTATTAGTATCATATTAATCATCAATTATGAATATCATTATTATAGTTTATTTGTATATTTATGTAACAACAATAATAGTGTTAGCTATTATAGATTATTGTAATTATTTTAAACTAGTATTATTATTATTACTACTAAATTTCATTATTAATCATTATTATTAGTATCATATTAATCATCAATTATGAATATCATTATTATAGTTTATTTGTATATTTATGTAACAACAACAACAATAATAGTTTATTACAGCTATAATATTTTATTATCATCATTATTTAACAACAACAACAATAATAATATTGTCACTGCCATATCGATTTTGTTCTGATATCAATGGGCAGAAACCCAGAATTATTCTTTTAAAGTCTTTTATTCCTTATTGTGACACATATCAGGGTGAAATGACTTCTTGAACAAGAAAAAAATAAAAAATAAATAATTTATAGTAAATACTGCAATATTCCATAAAAAAATATTCCATTTTGATTTCATGTTGACTTAAGTTTGTGTAGCTAACCAAGAAGCTGACCTTGAAACTCTGCTTCACCTTATAAACTATGACTGGAAGGGTTCATACCTTCGGGACACTCCCTGAATTTGTTGGGAACTTAGAAAGAGTTGGCAAAAATATCTGAATGTCTAATATTACACCCATTTTCTGTCTGGTGACCCTCTGACTTGCCAGTTGTTACCGTTCTTTTGGCACAGCAACACTGATCACAGAAACAAGGCTTTCAATTATCACCCTGGCTCTGAATTCACCACTGATTATGTGACTGTGTGACAGTAGAAATCTGTCAACTGTTCATATAAATGATGTAAAATTCTAGTCATACTTCCCACCCCAGAATTAACGCCACCAATTAGCTCTGGTCCCCTTGCTGGAGTCATCTTGAGTCAGACTATCACCACTAATGAGTCAAAGACATGGATTGTGGTGGCACTGATTTCCTTACGACACACAGAGAGTAATTATAGACTCCTTGACCTTTAACAAGGGTCTGAGAGGCTGTACTGATATTCAAAACCTAATAAGTGCTGGTTCTCAGAGAGACCTAAAATAACACAGACAGATTCTGATCATTTGGCAGGTACTTGTTGAGAAGCCCTCACAAGGGGACAGGATCATAGGATCAAAACTACAGTAAACAGAGAAGACAAACTATACATGATAAAAAGCTTACTTAAAAACGTTCTGTCACATTTATTGTATTTATGCTGATATGCAACTAGGGCCAGGTTATACAGGTTAACAAAATAATGAAAATAAAAATAGGAACATATTTTGACAATTTTCCAAATATATTTCAATGTATTTCACCCTAACTGTAAAAGACTTTAGAAATGTAGTTAAAAATTATTTACCATTTTACAATATTTTTAACATTAATAATAAATAACTAAACTGAATCATGTATATGTATCAACATAACAAACACAGCAATAAATAGCTACAATAATGGGAAAAATTATTTTTTGGGGTGTTTTTTTAATGTTCAACAAGGCTGCATTTATTTGTTCAAAAATAAGTTAAAAACAGTAACATTGAAATATTACTGCAATATAAATGCAACGGTTTTCTATTTCAATTTATTTCTGTGATGGCAAAGTTGAATTTTCAACAGCCATTACGGTCTTCAGTGTTACATGCTCCTTCAGAAATCATTCTATTACGCCAATGTGATGCTCAAGAAACATTTGTTATTATTATCAATGTTGAAAAAGGTTGTGCTGCTTAATATTTTTGTGGAAACTGAAAATTTTTTCTGAATTCTCTAAGGAAAAGTAAGTTCAAAAGAACTTATTTATTTGAAATATAAATATTTTGTAACAATGTAAAATATATTTAATGTCACTTTTGATAAATTTAATGTGTGGGAAAAAAATTACTGACCCCAAATGTTTGAATAGTAGTGTATATTTACAATCATATCTTGGTGAACTTTCAAAATGTTTTTTCCCAAAATTTCCAGTACATCGGTTGAACTTTATAAGAAATGAATTTGTTTATGTGTGTGTAGGTGTCAGCAAACAAGAACATTCACATACCGTGCAGAACTGGATGCCCCGGACACTGTTGCCGAGTTTGTCCAATGAAGGAGCCCAGCACATGATGCCCATCACATTGGGCACAACCAGCAGAATACCACCAGCCACACCTGACTTGGCCGGAAGGCCCACCTGAACAAAATAAAAAAAATACATTAACACTAAAAACTTATATACAGATAAATGAGACAACCATAATTGAAGATGTTGTGTTTGGCTGGAAGATTATGAGTGGGGCTCACTAAGAATAAATAGTGTGGCTTATGTTCTATAATGAGCTTGATTTGCATTTAAATGAGGTGTGTTTGCCAATAAAAAAAGCAAACCACAGTTATGTTGGAAATAAATTTGAATAAGCCTGAAATACTGCATGCTAAAGTGGTACAACTATTAAGTGAATTTGACTTTGAATTTGAAAAAAGTGTACTTTAATTAGCACAAATAATGGACACAAATATTCTCTAAAAAGTGTATGTGGACTTTGAGAGCATACAAAAACACTTTGGATTTGGATAAAGCGATCAACAATTTAAAAACATAATTTTTTTATGTTGTTCTGAATTTCTGAAAGCTAGGGGGATCTGATTGATGTAACTTGTATTTGATGTGTTTACACATGTGTGAAACTTACATGGAAGGCGAACTGTCCGGAGAAGTCATACATGCCGCACGAGTGCATGAGGCTGAGGGTGTCTCGCACAGCCTCGGGGCTCAGCACACGCTCGCCTGTGATTGGACAGAAGCCACCGTTGGCCAGTGTGGCAGCCATGACGCTAGCGCTCTCACACGTTACCTCGATGGAGCACAGCTGCACATATGGACGCAAACACAAATAAACACATATGAATAAGAAATATTATTAGGCCAGGACGCCAAACCACAGTTTTTATTTCAACATGCTTCATTTGGCAGCTTTCCTCTTGGATTTTACTGAAAACAACACCTTAAGAATTTGTCCACGTGTGTGTCTGTGTTTGTGTGTAAGAGAAAGCCATCAGCTGCACTATCCCATTACACACTCCGCATGATCTCAGAAGCACATGACAGGAGTCAAGGGACAGTCACCAGACTGAAGTCCTGCCATGCTTTTGCCATGTCAAACTAAGCAAGAGCCATTCATGTCAGCATATCAACTTTTTATTCAATTCAATTGTAGTGCATTGACAGTGATTTACAGATTTCTGATTTTGATTTGCAAGGTCTTGCTTTGATTCCAATTTTGATGTGATTTCTTTATATATTGACTCATTTGGTAATATACTACCATTCGAAAGTTTAAAGTTTCTTTTTTTTTCAGAATTTTTTTTTCAGCAAGGATGCGTTGAATTGATAAAAAGTGAAACATTTATACTTTTTGGATGTGATTTCTTTATATATTGACTCATTTGGTAATATACTACCATTCGAAAGTTTAAAGTTTCTTTTTTTTTTCAGAATTTTTTTTTCAGCAAGGATGCGTTGAATTGATAAAAAGTGAAACATTTATACTTTTTTTTTTTATTTGAAATTCAATTTCAAATAAAAGTTATTCTTTAGAACTTTTAATTCATCAAAGAATCCTGAAAAAAAGTTTCAGTAAAAATATTAAGCAGATTTCAACATTGATGAGAGTCACCAAATTAGCATAATAGAATGATTACTGATTGGAGTAATGGCTGCTGAAAATTCAGCTTTGCCATAACTGGAATAAATTACATTTAAATAAATTAAACATTAACATTTTAAAATTGATTAAATCATTTAAATAGTTTTTAAAATAATATAATTTTACATATTGTATTTATAAAATATATATTTAAGCTGCAATATTATTTCACAATATTACAATTTTATTGTGTTTTTGATCAAATGAATGCATAAAAAAAACGTATTTAAAAAAACAATTTACTAACCCCAAACTTTAGAATGGTAATGCATATCAGTTACAATATCAACATTTCAGAAGGCAACCCCAAAATGCATTGCAACAAGCTCATAACTTTTATGTTTCAATCTGACAGTAACTCAGAAAATGGAAGGCATCTCTGTACGCACCTGAAAGTACAAGTCCAGAACAGCAGTCATGTCTGTACCAGTTGGAAAGCACTGCGTACAAGAGAAACAAGAACAGATCAAAAGAAAGAAACACTCTTTTTTCCCTCTTCCACTGCCTGCGTCTCATGTTTTTCAACGGCCCCCAAAAAACCAAAGCAAATTACAGCATATAAAATCTGAAGGGTATATTGGGAGCAATAAATCACTTAATCACATCAAAAGCTCCCTGAGATACTAACCTTCTTTTCTTTCAGGTAGTAGCCAATAGCGAAATTCCTGTCTCCTGACTCGCGCTCCGACTGGAATCTAGATCAGTTGACATAAATAATCAGTTGCCTTAATCGAACCCAACACCACAAATCATGCATAACATAAAATCAGATACTGAATGTACTGAAGAGGTCAGGACTATATATTTTGACTGTTTGCCAACTGTATCTATGATCAAATCTACAGAACTGGTAGCTTAACATACGTGGCATTGCTGAAACCAACATATTCATTTCCAGCCATCTTCTTCAAGAAGTTCAACACCTGCAAGACAGAAATCAGAACAGGTAAATCAAACTCAAAAACAACAGCTTCTGTGAAAAAATGTTATCGTAATCTTTTGATAAATGACTTACATAGTCAAACTTCTCAGCATTGCCTGCACCTTGCTTTAAGACATAGGAAAGAAATAAAAGACATAAATATTCTGTCTAATATTCTGCCCTTCTAACAATAAAATAGATAAAAACTAATTTTTAAAAGTAGCATCATGGGGGGGGGGGGGACCATTCCAGAAACAAAC